TCACGCGTAGTTGCGCTAGGCGGCAGACTCCTAAAATACTGCCCTCGATCTGGCACCGTTGGCCATATGGAGGCGTCAAAGTGGAGATCAACTCAAAACCTAGCTCAACATAGTCCGTCAAGGCATTGAACTGATTCTTGAACCTAAGGTCTCCGTCGCTGAAGGAGGGAATGGGTTGGGCTGTACAGCTCCACTGCCGTAAGGTGTCGCACGCGGAGAGGCACCATACGTGACATCATCGAGTCCAGATAGGTCAAGCCTGACCATAGCCGTACCAAATACTCTCTTTTCGCCCTGAGCCTTGACTTTGTTTCATGCATCGGCTGGAACCTAACGGCTGGCGTGTGCGACCTGGACATTGTCATTTCATTAACCGAGAGCCCTATCAGATAACCAGCTTGGGACATTTACGCGTTGTGTCATTGTGTGCGTGTGTTTTGCTGGTCGTAGTGAGTAACGTTTTAACCCGAACGGTGTTATTTAAAATGAATTGTTTACAGACAACACATGCGCTTCGACAAGGTAGACATGCGACAGTTTGTTGAGATTTTTCGATGGTGCTTAGATTAGTTAGTTTTCCGCCAGTGTGTCAGGATTTCATGCCTGCGGTAAGACTGAACAGTTCATTAGGGCCAGTCCTAGTAGCCATCATCGTCAAACCTCTGAAAGAAATTAGCCGAAAACTTAAAAAAACTGCATTCTGTAAGTGATACGTGGATGACAGTTTCGGCATAGTCGAAAAATCAAGAGGCGGAGAATTACTAATTAAGGCTATAAACGAGACAAATTAAAAGATCACATTTACGATCGAACATGAGAAGAATGACACACTGACTTTGTTAGAAGCGCTTGTACGCAGGTGAGCAGCTGGCTCCATTCAGGGGTCCATCTATCGAAAACCCACCTTGAAAGGAGAGTATATGCACTTACTCCGTTTTGTTCTCATTCAATGAGAAGAAAACTTGGTTTTTGTGCTTGTTCAATCGAGCCACCAGAATCTGTTCCTCGGGTACGATTGATGACAACATAAGTTTCCCAGAGAAATTCATCGATTCCGGATAACCGGCGATTCATCGCCGTCCCAGACAACAGAAGTTCTGCCGGAATATCCGTGCTAGAAAGCCGATGAGCACCCTTCTCCCTTTAAAGGATAAAAATTTTGTTGTATCAATACCATAAGGGCGCTCCGTGATTCGGCAACCGGAGCATTGAGCGTGCCCTGCAAGCTACGCAAGTCTATGTTGAACGGGTTCTCAGAACACTATGTGTTGGGGCTGTCCGCGCCGTATCCCACTTGCACGATTGGCGTTCTGCTGTTGCTGATGGTACAGTCGCTGCTATCTTCAAGCCAAACTTCCAGCCTATGGATTTAGGAGCAGGCCTCGTGCCGAACTAATGACGCCGCTCGGGTTAATAATCCAGCCGCGTGGTCTTGCTCAGTCACCTGGGAATTGAGTTATTCAACGCTGCTATGTTACATCGTACCGTAGCACTCCCATGGCTCGTGGGGGTTGGAATTAAGCATCATGTTGAGCTGGCAATACATCTCAGGCGTAGTAGGTGACAGGTATCACGAAACCTAACCTGCAGTTTTTAAATGCTATTCCGACTGGAAGGGTTTACGTAGATGAGATTGTAAGATTGATTACCATACGGCATGAGACCCCACGGTGTTTTAGTCGCGTCAGAATGCACGATTCTGAATAGGCGTATTTCTGGCCGCTTGTAGGAATCACATTCACTGAAAATGACTGCTTAAGTATTATTATATTTTACTTCGACTCCCGATGCCCGTATCAATCCAAACCCAACGTATAGGAAGAATAGACAATAATAGCACTGCCGGCAAAGGAGACTTGAACGGCAATTTCTGGCTCATTAGCCGTCATCAAAAAGTCCTATCGAACAACAAATGGTGCACCATCCGAGCCTAGTGAGCCAGAAATAGTCAGCCCAGTCTCCCTTGTCTTTGCCGGCAATGCTATCTGCCTAGACTACTAGCCGCTGTGCGACTGTTGCTAGGATAGGGCGGGACCAGTGAGTTCCGTTAGCGATCGAGGAACGTTAATCAATGAGGATGCACAATAATATTGTTTCTATGGTAGATGGACCCTCGTTGATCGATAGGGAACTCACTCGTTACCTTGTGCCTTGGGGCTCGCTCTCGAGCCCCGCCAGCAGCCGCTAAATGGCCAGCATATTATAGACGGGTTCGAGCCTCGGGGGTTGGCTATGGCTGGCTGATGACGGCTAATAAGTCAGAAATGGTCATTGCAGTCTCCCTTGTCTTTGTCAGCAGTGTATGCCTGCCTACAGTATTTCTCCTTATGCACATTTGGTGGAACGTTGCGTCTTCCCATCTTCTACTCGATGAAGGTGTATCTTTCGGTTTTTTAAAGATGTTATTCAATTTCCGAATTACTTTCAACCAGACCTTAAGTTGCACTTGCTTTTAAGCTTACCAAACTGCAGTCTGTATACTTTCTGTCAAAGACACATAATGCATTCATATATGCCGTTAAGAACGCCCTATGTAGGGCTCATCAAATTTCTCAATGGTCATGGTATATTCTGCAGCAGGGACCTTAACAAGGGAGCAGACACGATGATTTGTGATTAGACCTTTCAGGATGTTAAATTCGCATGATCAAAAGCCGATTTTGCATCAAGCGATTTCGTTCCTATGAGTGTTTAAAGTATCCGGGAAAATGTGGTAGCCAGTTTTACTTGGTCCAAAGTCTGCAAGAGGTCGGAAAGACGCGCATTGAAAGACCGGGTTCCGGCGCGACTGAAATGCCTTGGAATTATTTTGCATGCTAATCAATCCTATAATGGCGTTAAAATAATAACAAGGATGACATTCCAGGACTTAGATTGATGTGTTCAGAAATTACATCGTCAGTAAAGCAGATGTGTGGCTGGGCTGATCTTGATCAAGCACTTGAGCATTGCGGTATTCAGCGCTGTTGGGTTACTTTGTGATGTGCGGTGAGTTCATTTCCCGGCAGTGACTTAGTTCTATTCACTAGCGACAAGTAATCGTAGCCGTGGCGTGAATTTGAGTCCTCTACCCCTACCTCTCTGGCTGTCGTTATCGCAAGTTTCACTCTGTGCCTTCTCTTTTCCGTCCGCCCCTCCGTTAAGTGGTTTCTTCGGAAGTTGTTACTTCCGACCGGTCTGGACAATCAGTACGTTCGTTCTAGTGTACCTTACTACTTTTATGTAAGGTTGGAATTACAAAGAACCGCGATGACTGAAGAAGGAGAAGAAGAAGAATGCTATATTGAGGATTTTACAAACCTGAATTTTCAG